CGCAATAAATCACGTCTTCCCGTGTACTCAGTCGAACGCGGTTTATTAAGGCAACTTGCGCGTGTATAACTTCGAAATACGCGAGCTCTAACGAACGCGCCTCGCGCGTTCAGAAGGACAACGTTCGCAAAAATGAAATTTATCTTTCTTTTCCCCACGTGGAAATAAAAAAATATTTTTGTTAGGAGTCTTTCGTCAAAACGAATTTTCTGTTACGCAAGCCAACGATTTTAATGAGAAAGTTTTTTGCCATCATTCATTACCGGTAAAAACGAATTCGCGCTGAAAAATAAATTAATAGGCTTGCTGGTAATCAATGTTAATTAACGTATCGATCAATTTTACGAGCCCACATCCACAGAGAATGACTTTAGCCAGTGTGTGAAGTATCTGAACTGCCCCCCCTCCCTAAATCACAAGCACAGACAAATGCAATCGAGCAGAGGTTTGCAGCGTGCCTGTAGGCCGAAATCGCACGGTATATCAAGCTCAGCTTGGAATTCCTTAACTTTTTGGCCGATTTCCCGCGAGCGAGGACAACATTTAGCGCCGAAGCCCGATATTAAAAGCGCGCGGTTGCGGGACAATAATAGCCGCGATGCTGATTTATTCGGCGCGACGTAGCGCGCTCCAGGGGGCAATAAAACGGCAAGCGCGCGCGCGACTACCATTGTCACCTGGATGGTTAATAACGCTCGTCCATCGGGCCTCGTGGTTAATTTTCAAATGCGACGAACGCGGGACTGACGGACAGGAAGGCGATATTATATAAGAGCGCGAAAGAACTCGCGACATTCGCGCCGTATCCCAAGAGTGGCGACATATCGCGGGCGATATATACGCGCGCGCATCTATGTAATAAATGCCAGCTCTACGGCGCGTCGTTTCAGCCGCGTGCAAGCTCTCGCGTATTAAAAGCGTAATGCGAAAACGGCTATATGACGAACGCCTCCGACAGGCTGCGTCTGCTGCTCCTCTTTCTACCGAGGCGCTTAAGACATTGCTGGGATAGAGCTTTCAATATCGCTATAGCTTGGCACGCGCTGTGTGGCTCTTTACGATGGACGTGAATGAATGCCTCTCTATTTTTTCTCGTTTTTACCATTTGCTCCTGCTGTTATTAAACATAACGATCGCGCCTTGAATTTCGCAGCGATAAGATGAAAGAGAGTTATGCAGAGTGTCGCGCCCAAAAATACACGCGACATTTTCAAACGAGCCTCTCGATCTTTAATAGTTGTAGCAAGAGCGTCAAGTGTATTTGTTGAAAGTGTAGCCGCGTACTCTATTTTCCTGGAATTGATTGGGCCACAAATGAAATTCGCCTGCACGTCGAATCAAATAACCATCTGAATTGGGCGTATAAATCATTGGCCAGTACAAATGAATTAAATATTAGACATGGGTGAGACTCGCACTCGTCGTGTTAAATTAACGACTGCATTTGAATATTGCCAAGCTGCAACATCATATGCAGGGCGTAAGCCCACGTGTAGACACGCTAAATTGAAATTCACATCTCGACAATGCGGAGCCATATAGGAACAACAAGATATACATTCGGCTCTCCGTCGAGCTGAAAATAAAATTCATGCGCTGTACATCATTTTTTCGCTCATAATACAGAGGCAATCCCACGTCGCGATTCTTCTTTCAAGCCCGAAGTAAACCGGCTACTCGGCGGGGCCGCGGCAATCCTCTCAGTAAACTACATACACGTATGTACGTACGAACCCAGAGAAAAAGGTAGACAAAGGGATAGCGAGCTACTGCAGCAGCGGCAAACTCCGCGAGCCGGGATCATACGAGCGACAGAGAGAGAGAGAGAGAGCGCGAGCAAGAGAGATATGAATGAGCAGTACGCGAGTGCTGCGGCTAGAGGAGATTTAGCCTCGACAATCGTTTTTCGCGAGTCGAGTTGGACTCTTTTTCCTCTCCTTTTTGCCGCTTCCTACAAATAACACAATTTGCCAAGGGCATGCATAATGCATGAAAAGTGCCTGCTTGTCTATAATAGAATCTGCACCGATTCCTGCGCATTCAATTTACAGAATCCCTTGTATCCGTGCGTGAATAAAGTTCGCGCGCTCTCGCTCCTTTTTTTTCAATGCTTGGCTCCTGGAGTATACTCGCCTCCGATGTCTTGGCAGCTCATTCAAGAGCCACACTCGACTCGTCGAGGAGTGGCTCTTACGCGTATTCTCGTCAAGAGACAGAATAATGAATGATCACGACTATCTGAATGCTGCTTATCTATATGTTAATACTCCGTGTAATTTTCAAGATTACATCAGATAGGCGACCGTAATGTCGTGCGAGCTCGAGGAAAACCAATCAAAAGCGTACAAGCTTTTACGGTTCGTAATAGAGATCGATAAAAAAGAAAAAGGAAGCAGGTACACACGACGCGCGCGTCGCCCGTCGATAACAGCAGCAGCAGCAGCAGCAGCAGCAGCAGCAGCAGCAGCAGCAGAAGCAGCAGCAGCAACAGCAGCAGTCGAAGGTGCAATCTTCGACGGAATAAGGAAGGGCCACATAAACACGCTCTATTGAAATTTCAATTCTGAAGATAGGGACACGGGGAAGTGCAGTGGACAGTGGTTGCGAGCGTTCAAAGAGGCGAGACAGGCTGTGTGTTAGCCGGCGGCGAAATGAAAAGCGTTGCAGGAAGAAAAAGGAGCGGGGAGGGCGAGATAACGGGGCTCGCGCGCGCCCGGCGAAATGGAACAGTGAAATACAGGAGGCAAGAAATTGAAAGAGAACGGCCCTCTCTCGCGTTCGCTTCGGCGGAAACTCACTCTTGAAGACGGGCCAAACTCATTCCCGACTTGGCGAACCACCTCTCGCCCTCTCTCTCTCTCTCTCTCTCTCTCACCCGCCAGTGCCGCGCACTCCTTAATACTCCCCGAGCGGGCCAAACTTGCGAATTTTCGACGTGATTTCAATCAGCGGCCAACTTGCAAAGATAATTTGCGAGGACGTTAAGGGACGCTGCTGCCGCAGCTCGCGCCTCATCTTTTTGCGCGCCTCAAGCTCTGCCGTCTCTCCCCGTATAATACGCCACTGCGTAGAGCTACTCCGTTGACATTGTTCCAACCAGCCAGGCAGAGTTTGACTTTCAGGCCTATCCAGCTTTCCATCTCACTTCTACGCGATCCTTTAAATTTGATCAGTTTCGTCTTGACTCGGATACTTCTAGGCAGTTTTTCATATGTCTACTCGTTTATGCCTTCACCAAGACAAAACTTAGTGATAGCGAAAATTTTCGATTGCCCGAATTCAAGTTTTCTGAAAAGCCTTGAAAAGTATACGTGTTCGTCTATGTTTTTTTTCTCATTGTCAATCGAACGATCGAAGTAACATTTATGAAACTTCGTAGTCATGTTCTTTGCTACGGTCTTTCAACAGAATTTCGAAACAATCGGTCAGTTTTTTAAAAAATTATCGAGATTTTTCATTTTTAAAATCTTTGATGATTTCTCGTTTTCCTATTATATTTATAAAAGTTGATTGTTTTAAAAAATAGCTTAACCTACACTTATGAAACTTTATAATTATATTTATTGAAAATGAAATTGAATTGAAATAAATGTTTTTCAATGTATGAAATTAAATTAAATTTTACTTTGTTAAAAAAAGAGTTTTATGCTCTTCGAAAAATATGTGATGACATTAGCAACAAATCTGTTGACGTGGTAATTTCCTTAATAAAGTCTCGTCATTTTCTTTTTTTCCCTTTTTTGCGATCTGCCCAATTAATTAATTCTATGCTTGAACGTATCATTTTAATATTTAATGAAGCTGCTAATATACAAAATATGTATTTTTTATTAGTAAAAAAGTGAATTCTGATAAAGTATGTCAGCCTCAACAATTACTTGAATTTACCTAATTATTATTAATCGATGACGACTTCGTTGCTCTCATGAATGAATGAGGAATGAATGAGGAATACGTGACAAGTGTTTCGCATAAAATCTTCAGGCGCATCGTACCGGACAAAGATATTCTTGACGAAGCAAAGTTCGATCCAGGAAGGTGTACATGATTCAAATACTTTGCAAACATCGAAGCTGAAAGCTCGGCAGGCAGGCAAGGCAGGCAGCAGCAACTAGCTTGGTTCTGAAATTTCGGAAGTCTCAAATTTGCCTTAACAACTCAAGACGGAGGCCTCTCTGTCGCATATCCTCGAGAGCCAGCGAGGCTTTTGCGAGAGGTGCTCGAAGAATGGAAGGGAAGATCGAGACTCTCGGGCCGTTAGAGCCTCGGTGGCAGCACAGCCTAATGAATATCCCGATGGGAGAGAAACCGAGCGAGATTATAATGCGCGGCGACTCCGATCTGTCTCCTTGCGGCTAAGTGCGCAGCCTGCCCGCCTCCTTTTTTTCGCTTACTGGCAACGCGAAACTCTCGTTACTTACTTAGCATAATGGAGATTAAAAAAAAGAGAGAGAGAGAGAGAGAGAAGAGAAACGAATGGTTACACGCCGAGGGACCTGAAATCGCGACTCGCGCACCCGTAATTTTATTAGGGACGTGCTCTTCTTCCACCCCCTTCCTCCACCTCCAACTATTCCGCGTGCATTAAATACGAGGAGTGCGCGCGCGAGAGACGCCCCCAAATGAAGTGCCGCTAATGTTTAGCCGCGAGTTTGCTTATACCGGTGATGCTCCACGCGTTGGTAACGTTACGCGTTCTCTTTCCCTCTGTTTTCAATTAGATTACACGAAATGAGAGCGCCGGCACTGGCTGTAGCTGGAATTTAATGGTATTCATTGGATCAAGTTGAATTCGAATTCGTGTTCCACCGGCGCGCATTCCACGCGTGTCGTGACTGGTCGCCGTAACGCGCGCCGAGATCTTTGCACGCTAGAATAATGATCGAGTTATCACATTTCGTTGGCAAGTGACGCGCGCGATTTCGGGAGGCGAGCTTTTCTTTTTAATTTACGGGCTCTGGCTAGCTGGCAGAGCGCAAGTTTACGCTTCGGATACTCACTTAAATAAGGGAGACTGGGGTTAAGTGTGTGTCGAGCTGAAGTGCACATTCGCGTTCTTTTTTGACCAATTTCCAAGAGCTGGACCTGAAAGCATAAGAACGTACGGTTAGAAATTGGATCGTGGCGGAGTTTACTTCGTCGCGCCGCACAAAAGCTCTCTAAAATTGGATATCGCGGCGTTGCAGTTATTCAACTAAAACGAGTTATGATCGTCAAACACGATATCCAAACTTTTCTTTTCAGTTTTTATTTCACGCGAGATCCAATTTTCGCTGGCTGAGATAGCTCTGTCGTTCCTGCGACCGAGCGCCGCGGCGCTTGTCTACATCAATCGTATCGGTATAACAAATTCATGCATCGGCTGAATGGTCGACGATTATTTTCTCTTGCTACCGGAGTGATTGAGCACGCGAAACATATTCCATCCGGATAACAGATTCGGGCCATCAGCGAAGTGCTTCTTCTTCTTTTTTTTCCTTGTTCTCGCAATAAACCAAAAAGGGTCCAACGAATTAAATTAGACGTCTCGTCGGCGAGGAAGCGCGGCTGATCCTCCCCTTGAGACGGCGACCGCGCCAGAAGAAATATCACGGGGAGTCAAGAAGATGAACACGCGACTGGTATTTTTTTCGTACTTTCCAGCGATAAGGGGATTTAGAATTATTTTCGCAGGGACAGCCGTGGAGCCTGGGCCGCCAATTAGACAATGTGCAACTCGACGTCGTTGTCATCGTCGCGAGAGAGATAAACTTGGATGGTTAGCCTCTCTACGCCATAACTCGAGGAGGAGCTTGGGGGGGGGGGGGGGGGGCAAGCAAGCGTTATCTTGTCGTGGCGCGAGCGCCGAGATAACTTTCGGGCCCGAGACAAGCGAGCTAATGGTAAAGTGCCGTGCCGTGTAATTGACAGTTAGGGGCGTCGTCGTCGTCGTCGTCGTCGTCGAGCGGGGACATCGATGTGCAACTTGGTCGGCTCTGTACGTTGCAACCAAGCCGTTTTGTACCAGAAACTTGGCTTTTGATTAATTCTCAGCGGAGAGCGCGGCCAATCAAACTACCCTCAAGATTACACTCAGTCTTCTCCACAGTCAGTGTAATATCATCCAATTAAGCATTGCTGCGCGCGCACCGAGCCAAGTAATAATTAGTTGGAGAAAGGCCTTTCATAACAGCGACGAGACAGCAGATCGCGGCCCCGATCGAGCTGCCTTCGGATCCGCGTGTATCGCTCGGCTCTTTCTTGCCGTCTCATTTGGCAAACGACACTCGGGATAAACGTCGACGCGGCAATCTGCCATCATCAATTCCCGTCGGGCATCAGCAACGTCACTACAGCGGTCGCGCGAGGCGTCGCAGCGCACGTCAGAAACAAGCTCCACGACGGGAGGAAAAAACTGCGGCTGCCCGTTATCTCCACGGCGCTCGCGCGCGCTAAGTGGCGGCTGTTTCTGCGCCTCGCGCTCCTTTCTTTCGCGCGGCTCGGCCGCCTCCCTGTCGCGCCTGAATGGGCTGCTCTGAAAGCGCGCGCCGCCCGGCAAGAACTGGGCCAGATTGAAAAGCGCCAGCCGGACAGGCGAAATTGGCGACTCGGACGGAAAGCCGTCGCGAGCGAGCCGCGGCTCCAAAAATAGAGATGGAAGAGCGGCCAAGATAGGAGCGAACGCGTCGCGCGCGATTATATCGAGAACTGGTTTGGCTGGCGCGCTCGCGAGCCTCGCCGATTTACGCGGCTCGTTAAACGGTTTATTGACGCGTTACTTTTTAATTGCCTATTTGACGTACAACTTTGCCGAGGCGCGCGTAGCCTCGGCATCCCTCGTGCTCCGCTGCTGCTATATGCGTGCCGATAATTATGTTTCGCGTGCGTTCTTTTGTGCAGCGGAGTCGATCGTAAATTAGCCGGGATCGTGATGTGATGGCCTGTACGGGCAATATTTAGATAGCGGACTCGTCGATTAAACGCGAACGCGTGTGTATTTTGCAAGACAAGCGGCAGCGGCAGCTGTCTCGCGATCGAAACGATGCAATCTCGAACTAGTAAAGAAATGAGTCGATCCCGCCTCGATAGACGCGCGAGACAATCGAGTGTAGCTTCGATCGGCGAGCTGTCGGCGAAAGCTGCTTTACGCGGACAAAGCGGAGATCTCGGTGACGAACGGCGCGGGCAAAAATTCGCCCGATCGACGCGGACGCACGTGACGCCGACTCCTGGCGCCGCGGCGAGGAGTAAAGAATAATAGGATCGCTCTCGCCGCCCAGCCGCATTAACGAACGGAGCGTGCCGTTGGCGCGTCCACGGCCAACGGTTTCTGGTCGTTACGAGTCTCGGCTGGCGCTGCTGCACGATCGTCATTATCATCGTCGCAGGCAGTAGGCGAACGCGAGCCTGCAGTTGTTTTTCAGCGTGGCCACCTGTCGGGCGTTTCCCACCTGGCGAAGGTCGTCAGCGCGCGCCAGACAAAGGCCGGAAAAGCCGAGGCGAGCAGCTGGAGAGCGCGCGGCGGGGCGCCACGCCTTGTCTTGTTTCTACCGTCTCTCGTTTGTTATGCCTGTATCGGATTTTCCTCTTTTTTTTCTCCCCTCCCCCCCGCACGCTCGAAAAGCATTTTTAATAATATACCGGCCGCGACGCTACACCGCGCGCTCGCGCTCGCCCACGCGAGACCCCCCTTTTTCCTTCGTTCCAAACTCATTAGAACGTGCTTTAAAAGATTGGTTTCGGCTTCGTTGGAGTCGCAGCCACCGCGCACATGGATTAATGTCTATCTCGTGCTCGTTCGACCGCTGTTTTATTGGAGGCGAACGACCGACGCCCATTGTTTCTTTTTTTCGTCTGTCGGGTGTACAGATCTCGTGGAATGTTGAACTAGTTGATTATGGACGATATGATATCGACTGTGGAACATTTAATTCAAGAGCGATTTATCAAAGGCTTATCTAATCCCTGCGAGAAAAGTCGTTGAGTGAGGGAGAGAGACAAACAAAACGAAATCGTCGTAAATTTGGCGACACGCAACAATCCAGATAAAAGATCATTTGTCAGCCAGGCTGCCGGCAGCAGCAGCTCCTTCTTACAGATATTACGCAAAAACTTTGCCTTCGTATATATGAAACTATGCTCTGCCTGGCAAACTCGTCCATTACTCGTACACACTTGCGGCCGATGGGGGCGGCGGCGCATCCGATCCGTTTGTCATCGCCCAAGCTTCCCACTCCCTAATACGAAGAGAGGGGCCGGGGGGGGGGGGGGCTCTCCAACTCTCCGCAGTCTTATCTTTCTCGGCCCATCGGACATGGCCGTTTTTCCGTCCTCCTTCAATTTCCTGAATGGCTTGGCCCAGCCGGTACACCGCGCGCCGAATTGGCCCAATTCCGAGTCTCTCACCATCGTTCCAAATTATTATATATCTATACACGCTGCGCGCGATCTTTTTTGCCTCTCTTCCAACTTAATTTGCTGATCGCAGAGAACGAAGCCTGAGCTTTTGGTGCGCGGCCTCCCTCATGATATTGGATCGGAGTTTTTCGGCTTGGGGTTATTGCTATATATATATATACGCACCCGCTCGCTCCAGATTAAATGATGTTATTGCTATGATTGATGCGCCAGTCAATTACCGCATCAGACTCGTTCGGCCTCCATTTCATATTTTTATCACTGAGAATTCGTTCGGTGATAAATGAAATTAGAATCTTAATAACCCATCGTTTTGTTGAAATTGTTTTTCCGATGCTACGTTCTCAGATGGTTCGTCGAACTCACAAACGCTGCATTAAAAATGATATTGAATATTGGGGTGAAGGGGGGGGGGGCGGGCAGCAAGGTGCAAAGTAGTGAATGTAAATGAAAATTGATGAGAAAATGTAGCGAGAGGATGAAGCCCGTTGAACAATGGGCCATTAATTAACAAGCGAATAGCGCTGTTAAGTGCCGGCAGCAGCAGCGACAGCAACAGCAGCAGCGGGGCCTTGAGCGATCGTCGAATTCCACAGAGTATCGCAGGCTTTGCAGCAACAACAAATGCCTCGCTTGTAATTGTAGAGAGAGCCGAGAGCTGGCCGCGGTCAAGACCCTAATTTCTTTTTCCGTCTGCCTGTCTTTCTCCCTCGTTCTCCTTGTCGGACGCGCGCGCATTTGTCCAGTGCAGAACCTCCGTCGAGGCCTAGGAAATCCGCCGGTAAAACGGCCAAAAAGATCGATGTCGACGACACATGCACACGCCGACGTGCACTCGATGATAATCCCTGTAGTGGGGTCTCCCTCTCTCTCTCTCTCTTGATTGCGCTCGCGAAGAAGGCCAAAGAGAAAAACAAACACGAGTGTAAGAGCCGGGTGATTTGATGCAGCACCGAGTCGCTGGAATTATCGAAGGGAATTCTCGCGAATGGCACGGAAAGTATTCCCGCGCGCGAGCCTCCGTTTTTTCTCCCTCCATGCTGCGTCTCCTGCTTCTTCCTCTCCTCCTATTGCCGCCTGCGAGATTTTCCCTCGGAATTTATCGCGCGAGCTTTTCCCATTTCAGCGTGCGCGCGAGCCGCTTCTCCTCTCGGCCACGCGCACGCTGGATAAACCGAGATGAGATATGGTAGAATGCATGGGAAATTTATCGAAATACAAAATTGCGCCACGAATATGTGGCTGACTGTTGGCAGACGCTCTCCCCCGGCTCGGAATTTTTTAATCTCCGGATGGATTTTTATCGCGCTCCACCTATTTTTTTTTTCCTCTGATTTTTCGCTCAGCGCGGTTTTGCGCTCAACCGATTCCCGTTGCAATAAACAATGACGCGGACGAATACTGCTATATCGAATTAATGCCGCGATCCCCGTGACACCACGAACGTCCAGCCGATAGGTTTACCGCTTGACAAATGAAAATCAGCTCGTGGAATGCCAGCGCGTACACGAAAGTACTGCGCGCACGTGAATATCGCTGAAATCCATCAAACGTTTAAACATTCCGCGGAGAGCCAAGTAATTCGATGTGCGAAAGGCACGTGAAAGCGAGTCTCTATTGTATCTACGAGCTGCAGCGCGTATAACGAGATGCTCAGCAGACTAGCAAATCGATTTTAAATTAACCGT